CTGAAAAGGAAACCTCTTGACAACCCAACACATATGGGAACAGTGAATCTCTGCGAGGCATGCCCGGAGTTCAATGTTCTCGCAGGGAGATTGGGAACCAGAGTGTACAAGGAATGTATCTGCTGAGTGATGAGCTCACCGTGAGAAACTTGGCAGAGAGTCGGGGAGAGATAAGACGGTGAGGCTGTTTGCAGCTCACATCCTGTTATTTAGTTCACACAGTAGGCTTGTAGCTTGAAGGGCAGGGGGGGGAAAAGGGGGAAGGTAATCTAATAAAACACTGCTGGTCCCGGCTGGGTCAGACAGATTTCTGCAGAGCTGTTTGTCAGTGTCGTTCTTTGAACCCTCAAGCCTTCAAACACATACTACTTGTTCCATGATGGAAGAAAGGCAGTCTATAATTTTGAAGAACTCCTATCAGAGCTAGAAACTTGTTTTTAGTCAGGGGAATCTTAGAAATCAATGCTAATTCCATATCATGCACTGACATTGCAACACATCCTGCAAGTAAGCCCCATTGAATAGACCTGAGTAGGATTCTGAGCAGACCTGCTTTGGGTTTCATTACACAAGACATCCAATGTAAGTTGGGTTGGGAAAACCCCAACCTGATTTGTGTCGGGCATGTGACAACGAACTCCACTTTAAAAGTACTTTCTGCTCCCATTGTGATCTGCAGCCCAACACTGCGGGAGGAGAGTCTTCAGCCTTCCCTCCTTTCTACCTGTGCCCATTTGGTGACTAAGAAATGGAGGCTGCTGGGGGGGGGGGGCTGCAGGCAGACATCTGGTTACTGGCAGTGGGTCACTAAGATGCTCTTTCCAGACATTTTTTTAGTCTCTAAAGGGTGCCTTTCCCCCCACCATGCAAGAGTGTAGAGGGCAGAAAGTACTTTTAAAAATGAGTCCTCAGTCACATATCTGACACAAATTGAGTTAGGGTTTTTCCAGATGTGTTATGTAATGAGAAGAGTGCCTGCTAAGTAGTGGAATCCTCAGCTTCAGTCTTGGGTTCTGACGACATAATGGAAACGTATCAAAGCAAAGTTGATAGTCACAGTATTCCTCCCATAACAGACCTGCTCCTGAGTCCAGATTTCACAAGACATTCTACAGCACTAATTTTAGCAAGAATGACAAACATGAGGGCAGAGTCCAAAAATGCCGGCAAACCTATATAAAACCTATTCCCTATAAAATACAACATTAATTTGACCTAATTTTCTCATAGCAATTATTTAAAATGATAAACATGTCTCTCTGTATATTTATGGCTTGTTTAATGCTATGGGAATGTTAACGGCAAAGTCAAGTGATTAAGGAGAAGCAGTGCTATATATTTTAAACAAATCCCAATAAGCACTCTCATGTGAAACCATTAATCTAACTGGCAGAATTCCACACCATCATTTGACTTTCTAAATGGAAATTCCATGCTCTACTCTTGCACAGCTGGTTACTTTTGTTCATATGACAAGAACAGAGTTGGATTCAAAACATGGATTGTAAAGGAGCAGGATGCATAAAATTAGCTAACTAGCAGAACTTCCTCATTTGAAATATTTCAGTTGCTAATGCAGACTAAAACAAAGCAAAAGAACCTTTCCACTGTCCTTAAACTGTCTGTGTATCAAGCTGGACACACCAGACGTTTGTGACAAGATTTGGGAGGCAATTTACCCTTACCTCTTATTTGCCTGTCTCTCTGCTGGTGACCTTTGCCTCCATTCCCCCTCCCCTTTCCTCTTTCTGTTTTCTCCTTCAGTGTCAACATTTCAGTTGGAAGAAACATCAGCCACAGAGCTTTATTTTGCTTATGCTCCTCTGTAAAGTTCCATTTACTGAAATGGCACTATAGACCCCACAACAACATGAAACTTTTAAAATTTACACCCCAAACCAATGTTTGTAGCATTTCAGCTTTTAAGGGGAATTACTTACATTGGAAATAGAGAGCTGAAATATCTGTCTTATAATATTTTAACAAGAACTTCTTCAGCAGTGATGAACATGCAGCATGGGTCCTGTTCCTTTTCCGTGTGACTTCTCGTTCCTAAACTAGATCCTCTAGTTTAGGTAAAGGTAAAGGTAAAGGTTCCAACAAAACAAACACCTCCCTCCAAACCAAAGGGCCAACAGGGAACAAGAAAAGTTGTTTCACACAATTTACTGGTTTGAAATATTTCTAGACTTGCCCCTTTCCCAACACAGCTGGAATCTCAGGGATGGCAATGGTTGTGTGTGTTTTTTTGACAGAGGCACAACAGCAGTCAGAAATTTAGTGGAAGAAGCTTCCCCATTGTTTCATCGCTATGTCTCACCTGCTCAGCATTTGCCTGACGTGTACATGTTAAAGCCACAAAAGCATGGCTAGAAAACAGGCTGGTAACCCTGCTGAGTTTAAGGTATCTTGAAAACTGTTTGAGCATGAGAAGTAGCAAACTAAACTTGACCATATGAGTCAGATTATGTTAGATTCATACTCAGGACAACTTGCTGGTTTGGTGCTCACACCTGGCTACAAGTATAAAAGAGTAGCCAGAAGAGACTTTTAATGGAAAAATAATCTCTGGCCCCGGTCACACAGCAAAGTTGCCGCGGGAGAGGCACGGGAGTCTCGTGGATTTTCCGGGCGTGATCACACCCCAATATCTGGGAAGCGCAGTGCTCCCGTGGCGAACCCATGGCTCCCCGCCGAAGGTGTGGAGTTAAAAACTAGTACCTATGAGGTACTAGTTTCCGGAAACTGCAGGGCAAGGGTGGGCGTCTGACTGCGTTTCTGGTGGACTGTCATGGCATCCGGCTGCTGCCGATGTTCCGTCGCGACCAAGGATGCGGAAAAGCACCCAACGGCGCATGCGCACAAACAGGAAGTGGCATTTGCCACAGGAGCAGCGCGGCGCGAGTGCCGGTTTGAACGTGCCGTGCTGCTTCTTTGCTGCGCTGCGGACTAGCTGTCTGATCTGCTCCTGACGCCTACCCACGGGTCCTCGAAAGGACTTCTGATCGGGCTGCTGCGCGGTATTTTCCTCCGGGGCAATTAGCCACGCCTCCCCCACACATTTTCTGGCCCGTGTGCCCGGGGCCTATATTAGCCCTAACCTGGATAGCCCAGGCTAGCCTGATCTTGTCAGATCTTGGAAGCTAAGCACAGTCAACCCTGCCAGCCTGCCTAATATTTGAATGGGAGACCTCCAAGGAATATCAGGGTCATGATGTGGAGGCAGGCAATGGCAAACCACCTCTGAAGTCTCTTGCCTTGAAAACCCTATGAGGTTGCCATAAATCATCTGTGACTTGATGGCAAAAAAACCCTATATTGAGATATGTATGGTCTTAACTTGTATGTTAATTTCCCTCATCTCCAATCCTATGAGGCTTTCCCCCCAATTGGGTAACAGGTGTTTTTCTCAATTCCATAGAACAAGTTGTCAAAGGAGAGTGCTCAAAAGCTTCCCCTGCTGATCAACATAGAACTGGTGGACCTCCTGATGGCACTGGTATTTCTGGCCACTGTGTGACACAGAGTGTTGGACTGGATGGGCCTTTGGCCAGATCCATCACTGGCGTCTCTTATGTTCTTATCTATACCAGTAAGACTAAAATGTAACCTTTTAACTCTAAGGTAACCAAAAAGCTTAGCTGTACACAGTCCTCTGCAATTGGACAGGAAAACATAGGGAAACTACATGAACAGAATGCCTTCTATTTTATCACTGAGCACAGCCTCACAGATAAGAAAATAGGGCTACCAAACAAAGGACAAGGCTTAAGGCAGACATGGGCTTTCATTAACCCCTGCATATGGTATATACTGCATATGGTATACACTGTCAAAACCTGCTG